CCAATCTTACAGAGTTCTCAAGTTGATTTGGTGCCAAAGAGTGATATTTTTTTACTGTATACCATCAGGCGTAGTAACTCATAAATCATCTCTTTGGGAGGGGAGGGTGTGGAAGCACACAGCCCAGGAAAGCTGTGAAAAAATACAGCACCCTAAACATCAATTACTTTATTCTAAGCGTCTGGGAGATTCCATGCCACTGGTCCACAGTCAATGTGTGAGCATCTGCAACAGTCAATAAATACACTGACTGGTGTAACAGAGGCTCTGCATGAGAATTTCCATTGTTGGAAAGTGATTGCAGTACAAAGGGAACAAAGTGTATATTGAATCTGATAAGATAATTAACACAATAGGTACTTAACTACAGCAGCAGTTTGCTTTCTCAAAATCAACAGTTTTAATCAGAAACCTCAAATGCATGAGAAATAATAGTTTCAAGGTGAGCACATGTAATTAAATGTTTTTGCTTCAGTCTCATGCTTAATGCAAGAGCTCTGATCTTAAGAAAGAAGGTGGGTAACAAGACTGGTTCATTCCATAAATTATTGAATAAAAAAGTGTTCTTTGCAATTAACACTACCTAAGCAGTGATGAAAATAAGGCCTTAAAATAATTCAGGCCTGTACAGGATTTGAACCCAAAATTATCCTACACAGGTGTCATTTTCTTACAGGCCCTATTTTTACTACTGCTCAGGTAGTGTTCAATTTACTGCAAAGATTGCTTTCATATTCATGTCTTTATCCCCAGTTCACATATATGATTTTCATATATTCACAATCATTTATCCATAAATAATTATTAATAACATAAATTGTAAAAGGCCTTTTCCATAATGTTCTACAATTCAGACAAGGGAGAGTTTCACAAAGTTAAAGAAATTATGTCTTCTACAAATACCCTGCTGATCCTTTTGACCCCTAAGAGTCACTAGCATCTAATTTCTCCTTACTATATCACCCCTGAATCAAACATTAAGGTAATGAGAATGAAGGAAATGATCACCAACTAAACAATCTCTTGATTTTTAAAACAAATTCTCCTTGTCAGCACCTTTAGTATGTAGTAGGGAGAATGTGCATACTAATTTTAAGGTATACAGGGTTAAGAATTAGCAAATGTTCACACTGTAAACAACAGAGCCACCAATGTCTGACAACTAAAATTTTTGATCTTTCAAATGTTGAAAGTCATTTCAACATTTGAAAGGAAGAATTTATTACACACATGATGTCTTTGTAGATTCCTCTTTTGTCTGTGATATATTAATTAATTTTATGAATCAATATTTCTCTTATTCATGTGAAATATTCCTATTATTTATAAAATGTCATGGGCACAAATAAAAGGAATATTTTATTTATTGCCGTCATCCCATAACCACTCAAATTAACAAGTCCCTATAAGCTCATTCCTTTGCAGAGCTCCTAGGCAACAAGTTCATTTTAGAGGGGCCTTCTTCCTTATCAGAGAGAGTGTTAGGGTTTATCCAAAACTTGTCACTTCTTTGCTTCTGAGGTCTTACCCAACTAAGCTCTCCCTTAGATAGGCCAGATCCCCTTAAACAAATAACTTGAAAATAAAAAAAATGGGTAAAACACTATTGCTAGGGTAATGCTATGCAATTGGTCAAAACGTTGTATTGTTCACCATCTGGGCTAGGTATAACAACGTTTCTGTTAAACTATTCATGTGTTTCATCTCATCCCGCATTTAACCTTCCAAATAAGAAAAAACAATTTTCGACCAAAGAAAATTTATCGTAGAGTTTTTAATTAAGTATTACCGATCTTAAGTGTCCTTGCACTCGTTTTATGGATTATCTATAAATACAAGGAAAATTCAATATCATTTATTTAGTAATAATTGCTATCATGATGATATTAATTTATACTCCTGTAAACGCCTTCAATACAAATTAATTCACTTACTTCCAAACAGAGATTTTTTTATACTTGCTGTATCACCACAACTGCCTAATTCCGGGAGAAAGGTTTGAGTGTTGATATTACACGTACAGCTACATGGTGTGGTATTGTTTACAAAAGCCGAAGTGTTAGCACAAACATCTGAAGGGCATTGGAAGCCAGTTTTGTACTGAACTCTAAACACGTCAGTATCATATCTTCCCCTTCTCGTTATCACGTACTTCTCAACACCATCCGCTTTTAAAGTAGCAAGCGATGAAGTAGGTTGAAGTGTGGTTATATACAACACCAAAATAACGATTCTTGTTGAGGAGCAAGTTGCCAGCTGCGTCGAACCCATATTCATTATTAATTCGCGCAAACAAGCCACAACTGTCTCCGGCTACACTTTGCGATTAACCTTTTGCTCTTTACCTCTGCATACGACTGGAATCAAAGGCATTACTTTAACGGCGAGTTTTTTTGTTTATAATCCAAGACATTATCTCTCTGCGATCCCGATAAGCCCGATTATATCGGTGTGTCAATGTTGCATCTACTTTAGAGACCGTGATATTCCAGAAGCTCAATTACGTCACGTTTCATACGTAGGTGACGTCAAAAAGAAAATACCAGAATTCAAGGTCCTCGTTTTCTGAACCGTATAAGGCACAGTTTCCGTAAACGCCTGTTGATTTATTTATTTTTGATATCTTCCTTGAGAAATAATTCTCGGAAACAGTGGGTCAGCTAATAGGAAAAGAGTAAAATATAGTCAGACAAAACTTCAAAGATGTCGACTGCATATGCTTACTCTTGAGGAATCGAGAAATACAAAGTGCAGTTTTAAGAATCTCTAGCTAGTAAGTGGGTTTATTCGCCTTTATGTAAAGAACGATGGGTCTCTGACCTTTTCGGCATCAAAACTGTGGGTTTGACTTCTTTATATGAAAGACAACACTTTTAAATCAAACTGAACAGAGATAGCAATTAGAGAAGTTTCTTCCGCTGTCAGTTGCTGACGTGAATAAACCGTATCATCTTGACGCGGAGGAAGGATAATACAGCTTGAGGATTATTTAGGGTTAAAATCATCATCTCTTTATCTTAATAATTGTCATGGGGAAGGGAATCATCGATAAGTGAAAATCATGCATGATTGCGTCACGGACCACTTAACACAACCGCTTCAGCCAATTTTCTTAATGACATTTCTCAACTTCAGCAGTGCGTAGACTTTGAATATTCAACAAATATTTTGTTAACTCCTGGAAACAAGGCTGACGCATGATGACTGGGAACATTAAGGAGATGCCAGTGAAACCAAAAATGGTTGAAACGTGCCTTTAAGAACGGAAACGAAACAGCAACATGAAACTGAAATGGAACAAACCGTAAGAGGTGGTCTCTTGTTTAGAGAGTTTGGAGAAAGTTCTGAGTACTGTTTTTCTTTCCTGTTTACTTGCGGTTTTTGTTACCATTTCGTGCTATTACGCATCACATATTAAACTGAATCACTCAAGATCAGAATTTCTTGACTTCCGCCCTTGGCAGGCCCGAAAGTGGTAGGTACTTGCCAGAACGCACACAGCTGACCGATTTAACTCCCAATAATAACTTGTGCACTTCACGCTCTACTTCGTACGGTTCTTTCACCCCCTCCCCCCAAGTAAAGAGTGAGCACCAACATGGACGACAAAAGTAGATCGCTTCTCATTCTATCTCCACTTACACAAACAGTTGTATCATTTCCATAAAAGTATTATTCGTAAAGTTAGTTAAGTAAAACGTATAATCTTGAGCCCCATTTGCGATGACTGCCATAAAACCACCATTTACGTCATAATAAGTCAGTCTGAACAAAGGAAAATACTACAAGAGGCCAATAAGGACTCAAAGCAAATACACGTCATCATCCTAACGCGCGGGAAAATGCAAATAAACCCATCGCCACTGGTTTTTCTTTTGCATATGATTGGTTAAGAAGATGGCGCGAGTTTCCCTAGAACAATCAAAGGGCAAAGTTGAATAGAAACCAATGCACCTTGAGATTATTTGAGATTACTCTAACAACAAAATTTGTTAAGTTTATCTGCACGAGTTATCTCCAAAGCTGAAAGCTAAACTACTAATTACAGTTATTTCTACAATGTTACATTTTTTTGCCTTTTTTACACAGAGACCTTTTTAGAGAGACATTTGTCTCTAATACATAAACAGTCTTTCTTGAAAGAGAATAACTGTAATACTTTAAGTAGCTCCTTTGACTCTCTCACAAAAGACTTTGAGCAACTCATTATTCATTTTTCATCAATTTTATACGTTTTCTTAACAAAAAAACTGTATACAACGTATCGATACCATCTGAACTAACTTAAATTATCCTTTAAAAAGTTCGATAAAAATTAACGCAATCAAAGCTTGTCCTAAAAAAAAGTTATCGACACCCAATAACAAGACTAACTTACCAACCACAAGAAATTAAACAAGAAGGCAAGTTCTTACTTAGTAATTTATCTCTGCTTAACACGCATACCTTAATATACCAGTCGCTTAGGCAAACAATATGTGCTAAATTATATAAAACTTAACTTATTAATTTAAAATAGCTGAATTTGTAAAATGTGGCCTTCTTTGAAAATGGGCTCAGTTCTAGCGTTTTTAGTCATCCACCCATAAAATTTAAGACCCGAGTGATCAGTAATAAACTGATTCCCTAATTTCTCGAGCAGCTACAGCCTAGTTCCGAGGCCCTCTCTCTAGCGTCTTTTACCGCATGAAGCCTGGAGAGGAGCCTCTCGTGGGAATGTCTCCAAAGGGATTATTGCCTGCGTTGCAGTCTGCGTATCTGAATTCTTTACAGGAATTTTTCATCACGGGCCTCTAGGGCTTCGCAACGTTTAGAAAACCGGTCATCTCATGAAACCTTTAAGCTTTCATCTAGGTCAGTAAAAAGCCTATAGAAGATTACGAAACTGAAAGCGTTTTGATATTCCAAAGATAGCCTCTTTTAGTTATTTTCAAAATGGCAACGGTCAAATTAGAGTTTTAAGCACCTTTTGAACTAAGTTTCTTGACGTTACGTCCCTCTTTGGAATCTCAAAATGCGGTATGCTGTAAATTTCTTTACTAACCTTTTATTACCGGAAATAAAAATTGAATGGTTGTTTGGGAATCCTTCTCCTTCAAGTGAGCTAAGTACACTACAGAACTAAGCTGAATCTGAGATCTTGAGTCTTTTCCAAATTGAAAAAAACATGTGAAAGTTAACCCTTTAACTCCCGTGAGTGACCAAGACAGAATTTCTAATGAGGGGAGAATGAACAATCAGATCTTGGGAGTTAAAGGGTAAAGAAACCCACGGTGGAGAGACGCAGGAGTGAGGGAAACAGGAGACAAGAAGAGAAGACCAGGAGCGAGAAATAATATATAGATTTAGGCAAGCCTAAAAGCGTAACTCGCATTTTTTTCCCGCACTTCTCTTCAACAAAACTAAAGCCCCTACTATGGATAAAGTGCGTGGTAATATTAATGGATTTTCATTCGCAACTTCTCCGTGTCCGTGTAGAGGACTGATTATAAGATAGTGCCCGTGGTACAGTTGGCCGCGCATGCTAAAAGTAGCACCTTGTACGGTCGGTCGTACAGTCGTTCGGTCGTACATCCCAATTTTTTCGGCTTGATGGGTCACTACTATTTTTTATAATTATGGGGCTACGCTCTGCGAGCTCCGCTATAATGAAAATAGAAATGCAAAACAATGCGTTATTTTGTTTATAATTGACTAGCAGTGATGGTGTTACAGGAATGGAGGATGAGAGATGGGCAAGACAGAATGTGGGAACGTGGGAACTGAGACCATCCTTAACCCTGTCAACTATTATGATCCAATCGCTTAATTTGGGAGAACTTCGATATAATCATCTGCTTGTAATGAGTCATCACCCTCCTTGTCATGCGAGGGCTCCTTTGAAGAGGCCCCTGGTGATCTAGGAGAATTAGGTCCTTGGAAGGTTGTATTTTTCGGTGACGAAGGAACATCAGCTTGTCTATGGGAGTCAAGACTGTCTAAACTTGAGCGACTAGCTGTTAACATAATGATTCCTTCTGGTTTAGCATAATCATAGGTTTTATCCTTTGGCTTATCTTGAGGTGGTTTTGGACTTTGGAGTTCGCTGAGAATAGCTCCATCTGGGTGACAATCGGCAGATCCTGTTACTTCCAGTGGAATTAAGTAACCAGAATGATCTGAAAAGAAGAAGCGCGAAAAGAGGCAATGATAGATAAGATTTAAGTTATATCTCTTACTAACTGAGTTGGCAGAGTAAGATATGGACCAACTTTTTCCACTCGCATTTGCGGCTCAGGCACAAAGCAAAAAGGAAAAGGTACATCACAGACCGAAAAAAAAAGTTTGTAAGATATTCATTATATCTCTCGGTTCAATTAGAGGGGAGAGATTCAAAGTAAAGAAACTTTAAATTTAGCGGGCTCCACAGTGATAAACGACCCCCAAACTTAACCAATCATAGCAATCATAGCAAACGCATTAACTGAGAGATATAATTAATCTACGTATGGGTGTCATGAAATAGTCGTACGACAATTTCTCCCAACAGACTTGACATAAATAATAATATAATCATCTACAGATTGAAGTTGTCTCTCTTTGCTTGCAGCATGAAAAGGGGAAATTCTCATAAAATAAAAGTCTGACAAAGTGAAGAAGGGCAAGCCTTGGGACTTTTAAAAATAAATAATTAACAGACAAAGATATATCGTATCAAGTGGTGCTGATCCCTTTAATAGGGTTAGTGTGCACCACATAACATACCTTCGTTAGGCTTGATCAGACTTTGATACTCTGAGCGACATCTATCAGGTGCAGGTTTCAAGAGTGTATATTCCTCGCACGACGGACTTCCTATTTCTGCATAAACTGCTTCATCAACAGCTCGTCGGCCTTCAGATGGGGGTAAGGGGATTATAGCCTCCTCCCCTTGGTTAGAGAATGCATTACCTAATACAATCAAAAAATAAGTCAGAATAAATCATATCAAGCATATGCATGTTTAAGGGAGACGAACGAAATAGACATGCAAGAGAAAGTAATATTACTTACCAACATGAAGCCTTGCCGTGTGCTTTTTTCGTTTCCTTCGACTCCTGATGAGATGAGCAGTTATTTGTAAATCAATGAGACAATTGTTGCACTTCATGCAAGATCCTTTTAACCAATCAAAACCCCTGAGTGTCAGCATCTTATTTTTCCTTACAGTAATATTGCTGGATCATTCATTACGATCATGAGAACAAAAGGAATGATCGCCACCCTGAGAAGCTTTGATTGTTAAATGAATTCTCCTTGTCAGTACCAAAGGAAATGTATAAAGAAGGTATGGGGTATATGAATACTGATGTTATGGCACAATCACTATTAGATTCATTATCATTAATTATCAGCACCATCAGAAGTTATGTGGGTTCTGGCACATTTTAAAATCAACCTTGATTTCAAGTCAACTCATGAATGTAACCTTGATTTCAAGTCAACCTTGAAATCAATCTTGATTTCAAAAACAGTTCTTGCACATTTTGAAATCAGCTTTGATTTTAAAGGCAACTTTAATTGTTCACAGGTGAATAATTTTCACATTCTCTTCACAATGTCTCACTCTTGAGTTCTGAAGAGGGTGTGAACATTATCATCTTGAATGATCCTCTTATCGCGCCATCAGCATCGTTGAAAGGGTGTTGATTGCTTGGGTGAAGATTTTCAAATATCAATGTTGTATCTTCTCGCAAAGAAGTCGTGATGTGCCTTGAATTGTTCTTCAGTCAAAATTGTGTCTTTGTAAATGAGAAGTAATGTCATTAATAAGTCACGCTTTCAAGCTCACGGTTCATGATTTTGAGTTGAGCACCTGAGAGGATGAGGATTTGACATTTAACATTCCCTGAGCCTGATACTTACCTGTCAATTGCGAGCTGAACTCCTTCTTTCGTATTCACAAATCTCAATCCACTTCCATGACGATCATTGTCATTCATGCTTCTGAGATCGATGAATGGATTGAATCTGTTTCCGGTATAAGAGTCTATTGCATTCATCGCGCTGTTTTCCTTACCAGATCTTCTGAAGACTTCTTCCCACATATCTCCTATCTTCATTCCTTGACTGTAATTTTTATTTGGGAATCCACTGACAATCACCTTCACCTCGGTGATGTTAGGATTAAATGTCTTCTCTTTCCTCTTCTCTTTCCATTTTTGTAGTTAGACAAGCCCTCATCAGCAAGGTCTTGACTGTATATAACTTCATACCCAAGCTGGATATAATATATATAAGGATGACGAAATTAAAGAGAAACAGAAGTCTATTCAGGACGATCTGGGGATTGCCAATGATGAGAACGAAGATCGAGCAACAAGAGAAAGAGAAAGAGAAAGGATAACAGAGAATTGAGAATGAGAGAGAAGAACTTGAAGAAGGCACTTCAACAAGAGAGAGAGTGAGAAACATGTTCTAGAGGTATGGCTTGACGGTCTCAGTTGTTGTACTCGCAGTCGAAACAACGATTGGACTGATTGTGAGCGCATTGACAAGAGGCCTGAAATCTATGGTCAAAGGAGTTAAAAATTATTTTAGGACTCTTGGAAGTAAGATCGCGGGAATTCTCCCAGGTCTCATTCGTTCAATAGTCAGCTTCATTTCCAAGACTGCTGGATAAGTGATCAGCTACCTTGGTCAAAATGCATGGCTTCTGATAGTGGGAGTCGTGATATTCATGGTTGAACGCTTTCAGAAGAAGAATCGATGAATCAAGAAGGCCGAGGCCAGTCCAGCTGAAATCAAACCGACTTTAATAATGATTCGTCTCGCTGTTGCTCCTGCTTGGGTTACGAAACGGCTCCTGGATCAAAGAGCTTCGCTTTTCATCAATCTTATTTGACGGATGAGAGGTCGGTTTGCTGATTTTTCATGAGCCCCAATTCATGTGCCTTACTCTAAATGATTTCATCTCCAAATTCACTGACTTGTTAACTCCCAGCCTCATGCCAGAACATGCCTTCTTCAGGCTGTTATTATACCCAGCAGCACTCTGAGTGTTCAGAAGAATATTTAAGGGCATAAGCTAAGTGCCTGGTTATAGTGCAGGATCAAGCCGGACTTTTGCCTCTCCAATCGTAAGCTTAAAACTTTGAACGCTCTTCGAAATGTCTGGCTTCCTGATTGCATCCACGACTAATACAAGGAACTCACGTTGATGATGAACCCAAGATTAATGATCTGACATCGACTTGTGCACCAAAAATGCAATAAACAAATGCCTCAATTGACTGATTCAGTCCCACTATCCCAGCCTGCGTCAGACCTTCTGACTTGTCCGCCATGGAAAAGTCAAACTGTTTTCAACCTTTTTGTTGTCATTCCTTATGAAGTAGACCAGATTACCTTGGAAGGGTTTTCCACATTCATCACTGAACTTGTCAATTCCAGGATATGAGAGTGAGGGTTTCCTTCCGGACCAACCTTTGTCACGTAAATGAAAACAGATCCGAGACTGTGATTATCACCTTCTTTGAAGCAGAAGTATGTGCCTAACGAAAATTCAAATTCTGCACATATTCGTTTGAACGATGGCTTGTCATAATTATTATTAATTTGGCTGAAAGTTGGGTCACCTGGAAGAGCCGATTCAACCCATCTCAAAGAAAATCCTTCTGACGGTGATATGGATGTGAAACATCAGAAATGACTTGATCTGTTCTGGAACCTTATCAAACACCGCACGAGATATTCCACGGCCTGTAGTTGCGCACCATACTGCGAAGGTAAGCTGTCGAGGCCGGTAGCTCATGTTTGGCCCTGCAACCTATAATTCAAGAAGCCGAAGTTCATTCCTGTCATCTTTCTGAAGAATTCAGAAACGTCTGTCTTGACAATTATGAGGTTGACCCTGCCTAGTATTTCACCGATGATTGACAAAGGAATTCGCGGAGGAATTTCAGTGATCTGAAATCACTTTGGAGGGGCAATTAATCTATATATGGGTGAAGCTTATGATGTGACAAAGCTAACGAAATACATCACCTATCTTGATACAAACAATCTTTATGGATGGGCAATGTGTCAAAATGTGCCAGCCTCTTCCTGTCAGAGGTTTCAAGTGGATGACTACCTTAGACAACTGGAGAAATATTCCTTGCATTCTTGTGGTAGATCTTGAATATCCAAAAGAGCATCATGACTTGCATAACGATTATCCGCTTGCTCCGCAGAGGCTTATGATCAAAAAAGTAGAGAAGCCGAATCCTAATCTGAACGATAAGGAGAAGTATTATATTCATTATAAGAACCTCAAACAATATTTAGACCTTGGTTTGAGGACCAAAGGAGTTATAGAGGAATCAGTTTCAAAGAAGAGCCTTAGCTTTAGAAATACATTGACCTAAACACGAAGCTGTGCACAAATGCAAGAGAATTAATAAAAAAAAAAGCTTTTTTCAAGATTATGAACAATTCTGTTTCCTGAAAAACTATGGAAAACGTCAGGAATCGTGTGTACGTGAGATTAGTAACCAACCGAAAGAAAACATCAAAACTTGCAGCAAACCCAACTTCAAGAAATTGACCATATTCGATGAAAATCTTGTTGAATCCCTCATGAAGCGAACTAAGCTGGTGTTCGATAAACCAGTCTATTGTGAAATGTGCATCCTCGATATCAGCATGAATCGGGTGTGACTTCCACTATAACTACATCAAAGAGGAATATGGAGGTCGTGCAAAGCTTCTATTCACAGACACCGACTATACTAAACGTTGCAAAGCTTTGGCTGATGAAGCAAGCCATCTAGCAGATTTATTCGCCTACCCCGAAGCATATCCCGAGACCAACTTTTGATGTTGAATCTCCAAATGCAGTTCATCACGCTGATCTTCTTTTCCTTCCTTATGACAAAGAGACCGAAAGGTCGCGGAAAGTCTACAAGTATGCATAAAAAGTTGATGTTACAAGCAGACTCAAGGCTGGTGAACCTCTCACCTCAAAAGATTCTCCTGAGGTCTCAAAGGCTTTTCAGACAATCTATAAGCGTGACAAGAGGATCATTTAAGATGATAATAATCAAACCCTCTACATAACTCAAGAGCGAGACATTGTGAAGAGGGTGTCAAAATTATTCACCTACCTATTCAATAATTCAAGTTGCCTTTAAAATCGAGTTTGCATAATTTCAAAATGTGCAAGAACTGTGTTTTGAAATCAAGGTTGATTTTAAGGTTGACTTGAAATCAATCTTAAATTCATGAGTTGACTTGAAAGCAAAATTGATTTCAAAATGTATCAGAACCCACTTTTTGTAACTACTCCATCTGCGAGCTATTTAATCTGAGATAGGTTGTACTCGCACTTGTAGTTGATGGAACTTACAATTTTCTCCTCTTGCAAAATACAACGAGGAGAATAAGGATAATTGCAAACACAACTGCACATGCCACAGCAACACCAATCAAAACTCCAGATCCACTGCTGCTTCCATTCGTCCTTGTGTCTTTTTCATCTGTGTCTCCAACAGTTTTTGTCACTAAATACATCTGCAAGGAATTTTTAAACAATTATTCACCAAAGTTGAGGTGAACAATTGTTGTATTATATACCACACAGATACGAAAAACTAGTTTATTTCTTTCAATATACCGAAAAATGGTCGCAAATTAAATTTTATTTCTTCTGCTGCTCAGAGGTAAATACTACTTCCTATTGACTTCCTAACTAGCCAATCAGTGGGCGCGAAAAGCAGTATTCACTTGAGTGGTATATACTAACATCTGTTAGCAGTATACTAAAACATTGGGTAGCGTTGAAAGCACGCTCTGATTGGCTACACAACGTATGAACAACCTTTGCTATTCACCTCAGAGCAATGCACGCAGGATTTTTGCCCGAATATATTGTAACTGTTGCAGGAATAAATTAATTAAAATCATATTTTTTTGCGACTACATTATGTCTCCGTTTTAGAACATAGTAATAACAACTATTCACCTCAGAGTCGGTGACGAGTGGTGGATATGTAAATACCCACCACTAGTCACCTCACTTCGGTGAGCAGTTGTTAATTGTTGTTGGTTTACTAAATTGATGAACTGCATAAGCCTTACATTATAATTATTTATAAAATAACTGAAATGCTACGAGCGACCTGATCGACTTGAAAATTGGCCTCTACCTACACTTCTTTTTTAACTAAATGAGACAAACCAAGGATAGGTATTTGGTATTTCTTTGTGTTGCCGAAAATTTTTTGACAGTTATAGTAACTGTGCACCCATTTTACTAACTGTATCATTTTCAGTGAGGATTGTTAAGACTGTTTGAAGTTTTTACCCCATTGCTGTCACAATTGGATATGTTGACTCCTCCTTCATAAACACAAATAGTAACTCCAATAATAAGGCATTCCTAATGGGAACCGCTAAAGAAGGCTCTTGAAAGACATAAATCCTGGGCTTGCTTCATTTTGGAATATTTATGGTAACTACTTTTAGCTTTTAGCGTTTCCTTGCCCGCCGGAAAATATACGGCCTTTAAAGCAACGCGAGCTGGCGAGACGTATGCAAGGGGTCTAGCACTGTAATTGCTAATGCCATACCCCCGGCAAACCTCTCCTTGGCTCATCTTAAATCTTTCTGTGGAAGGAAAAACGCGTGTCCCACAGCGCTTACAATAAGAACCTGCTTGCGGGCGAAGAAACCCCACACTAGTTCAGTTTGTATTTCTTTTCGCACTACAGGAACTGTCCTCGTTTGTAAACCGAAAAACATTTCTACTTACAGCCACAACAAATTCATCAACTGCCTCAAAAGAACAAACAGAACAGAACAGCCTTTGATAATGAAGACTGTATCTAGCTCAAACCTCAGAAGATTTTGTTGGTTCAGTTAAATCAGTCGCTGTAGTCACTGGAGAAATATATGGTGTTGTCTTTGCCATAGAACTTAGATCCACTGAAAAGTAAGAGAAACATAGTGTCACAACAATGGTAAAAAATTATTGATTATTGTTTTTACTTTGCCATATTTGTTACTGTGACAGTGCTGTGCCTTCTTCGTAACGTTCCCCTTCAATAAGATAATAGTTCATTTCATGTTACTCAGCCCCCACCAGTAATTAACAAGATATCCAGCTGAAAAAAAAATTGCTCTCGGCCATGGTAACCAAAAAGGTTTGGGTTTGAGCCCAACGGGCAAGGTTCATCACGGTGGCATTGAGGGGGAAGACACTTAACCATCACAAAGTATCTCTCTTCAGAGGAGTACCAAAAAGGTACTTGGGTACCTAAACTTGGCTCAATACTGCAAGGGTAGCAATGCTTGTAAGAAACTGGCTTCGTGCGATGGCGGGACCGGTGCAGCGCTCTACAACTGATGATATGATTTTCATATATTTACATTTAATTTGTTCCTCACTTCACGGGTCTACTTGGAACCAACATAGCGACCAGCTCCAGTTAGCTTGTTAGCTCAGTGGGTAGAGCACTACACCGGTATCGCAAGGCGCATAGGTTCAAATCCCGCACAGCTAGGCCTGAATTTTTTTCAGGCCTTATTTTCACTATGCTAAAGTAGTGTTCATTAATGCGAAGATCGCGTCTATATTCATTTCTTTATCTGCAATTCACATATCTGAGTTTTATATATTTACAGTAAACTGGCTTCCCATGCATACAGGAGTACTATCAAGTACTCTAACTTGCCTCATGCTACAAATAAATCTACTAACCAAGTTTGCAGGAGGTCTGTATTGTACGTTACAGACCAAGTTTTAACTGCTTGAATTTATGACCCACGCGTGAAAAGAAAACGAGTTTAGTATGATGTTTACTATATCTCTAGGTTCAAATCGAGGAGGAAGATTTCAATTTAAACAAACTTGTGAATTTAATGGGCTGTACAGTGAAATACAGCCTTCTTAATTGACCAATCATAGCGCACATACTAACTGAGAGAAAATTAAAAAAAACAGTATTTTACTGTTTAGCTGCACAAACTATACCAACATGCAGGTTACGTAGTTATATCCTTTACTGCACTCTTTCCTAGTAATAAATATTGTAAATTGGAAATTAATACCACTTAGAATTGTTACTTACCTCAAACACCAATAATTCTAAATTTTAAAACACAGTAACTCTAGTGTTTTCATACTCTTAACACCTCAGATTGAAAATCACTGCATTCTTAAAAATTTCAAGAAAAACACACTCACAAGTGATTTGTCCTGAGGTCTTGAAAACCAGACAAGCAGTTTTGGTTGGTCTAGATGCAGGAGCTGAATAACTACAAGTGACCTTTACTTGCACAATTCTTCCCAAGAAGTTCTTTTCTGTGGTATCTGCCCACTACAGAAATGCAAGCAAAATGCACACAATATGAATCCATTTGTAAAGAGTCTGGAGTATAAGTATAGGAAATCGTATGAACGCGAGTGCATTTCGTGATTTATGGGCACGAGTGATGTTTTGAAAGTTCTCAAAATTGCACGAGCCGTAGGCGAGTGCAATTTGAGAACTTTCAAAACATCACGAGTGTCCATAAATCACGAAATGCACGAGCAGGTTCATACGATTTTTTATTTATTATATTCGCGACATTTTTTTATAATTTGGTGTTCAAATTTGGCGCTTCCCCGGTGTTTCCATGGCAACTTCTCCGTATTGCACTCTATAACCTCTATTGCACTCTATAACCTATTTATGCATTCATCATTGACCAATCAGAAACGCGATATTTTGTTGAGTATATAATAATGACAGTTATAGGGATAGGGTTAGGCCTAAAATTGAAAATACTGGAGTCAGTCCAAAGAAAACTTTTTAGGCACAGCTAACCTTACCTTTATTTGATTAGCACAAAAAAACTAACCCAGCAATTGAAAACTATAACAGACATCTTTCTAATTTTGAAGACTTTTATCTTCTTACTTTCTATACTTTTTCCACAATTAATCCTCAAATCACCAAACTTTAGAGAGCTCCATAGGACAATTTAAACTATAGATATTGCAAAAGGAGGTCCAGCTTTCCACAACCTACTCACAGCTTATAGCCCAGAGGTCCATGGCCCACAGCCTGAGCCCCCGTGACCTGAACCTGATGCCCATTTTAGGCCTGTTTGGTAAGGAGACTTTATAATGCCCATACCCTGAAGTGACTAACCTGTAACTTCTACCTGTAATACCCACACATTAGCAGGCACACAAGTAATTAATGAGAATAATCAAACTTCTTATCTGGATCTAACATCAAATTCTTGTAACTAACTTGCAGGGAAATGTGTTTGCAGCTAGAGGGGGGAATTAACAATCAGATCTTGGGGGTTAAAGGGTTAAAACATCTTTATCATTGCAATTTTTGACAACACTTTGCTTCCCATGAAATGAGATGCAGACTGCTGAGCAGTGAAGTTGTGAGTCACAGGCCATAATGGCTGCAGAACTGCTGGCTTGCATGCGTTTACATTTAAAAAACTTCAGGTACAGAACCTTGAAGAATAGTTTGTTTTGTGTTTTTTCCACTTTGAACATTTCCAGGTTTATCCCCACCCACTTGTTTTCCAGTTGATAGTTGTAGTATGCTGCACTTCCAGGAACAACTTGACAGCTTTGATAGATATTAGCTGAAATAATATTCACTTGTCCTTCATTTGCTAGGTTGAGGGATTTCAGGAAAAAGTCCCACTCAAAGAAACGGGAGCAAACTGCCAAAAAAAGAGTCCAATTTAAGCAAATTATGTAACCATGTCTGTTTGTAATAAAAAGATTAAGCCTTACAGTCACCATTAACTTGGATAACAGAGTTTTAATAAGGGCTCCGAATGCCACCATCAGCCCTGCCTAGAGTGGCCTTCCAATGGAACAACAGAAAGGTCGAACATGGAGGAGCAACCAACAGAAATCAAAAGTTGTTTTCTCTGGCCAAGACTTAATGTGCATAGATGCACCAAGAGGTCACTGACTTACTAACTTAACCTCATAATGTTTGGTGAAGGTAGTTGTAAATTGAACTAATTCCGCTTCTGAAAGTTTTTGCTGTATTTCATTGGATTGTTATTTTTATGTATATCACCTCCAGGGAAAAGCCAAAGGCTGAATTGGCTACCAAAACATGGTTTGTGTATAAAGGCTGCCTAAGCCTCATGTTAATTTGGAGATTTTTAAAAACATTTAATATCTTTCTCCATTAGAATGCTGTTGAAAAAGTAAGCAGAAAAAGTTATGATGCATTTGAAAGAGTCAGAAGTTATGTCTTGTTTTTAGGATCCATGTGCAAAGCAGAACAGTTGGTGAGTAATCAATTTGAAGCTCCTTATGTTATTAATTTGTTCACTGATATTCCATGACTTATACAGTTACTGATGCAAATTTAAATTCACTCACCAGCATTATCATTACATCCATACACTTCAACTCTGAGACATCTGAACCCATGCCTGTTATACTTTTTAGGATATATTCTCAGAAACCTTGTTTCAAAAGACCCTTTAAAGTTGTTGTATTTCACGCTGTCTGTATCTTTATTTCCAGTAAATGTCTGAAAGCAGAACATACAATTTATAAGCATGAAAAATGTAGATTGTCTTGATCTCTTCCTGATATCATCATCAATTAAAAGATATTGAAAAAAGGCTTAGATAACATACACAAAAAGGAGTCAAATTCTCTAAGTGGACGTAAAAACATTCTAAATTTTCATTATCTTTCATTGATACATTTCATGAGAAAAAAAGAGAGTTAAAACAAAAAATTTTTATCAAAACTAAATAAATATATAACAACTCTTCACTGATAAAGAAGCCAGCTTTGACTATTTTCAGAATATAAAAATTAACAAAAACCAATGGGTGGGAGGGAGGGAGGGAGGGAGTTAGGGGTTGTTCCATGCATTAAGTCTGATGGTTAAAATTTTTGGCTTACATTGCATTATTGTCAGTGGTAGTGATAGTAAATCTTTTTTCTGTTATTACATCCTTGATTATGCTAGTCTGAAAATATATTATAAAACATATCCTTGTATTTGTCAATTTGTCAAAGACTGTTTAAAATTGGTGAAATATTTGTATCATGACTCCAATAACGCACAATCAGTTTTATTTGATATCTTGTTAGTAGTAAAGCAAATGGCGATCTTGTTGAGTAATGCTCCTGAAAGAATGAAAATTAACATCTATCATAATATCAAAAATTCAATACCTTTTTTTTACCACTGTCATCTTTATAGTCAAACCATTTTACACCGTCATAACTGTACTTTATCTCATATGTTTTAACATAATTAAAGAATCTTCCTTTGTATCCTTGAGTTGCAAGTGCTGAGACATGCCTGACCTCCAGTAAGTCAATCTGTAAAAAGCTGTTATTAGATGAGGTGCACCAGGCCTTCTCATTGTTCAGTCTTCCTTCCAAAGGACTATAGTTTGGATAATAGCTTGAGGCTCTTAGTTGGGAATCATTGACTTTTTCACTTTCCAAACCAAGTGCTTCTGAACAATCTACAATGTAATTAAGCACAGGTAACAAATCAATTCTGCATAAACAGGAACTGTATAATCAATTTAATAGGTCATATTTTTAATAAAATAGGTGATCACAACAGCAGAGAGAATTTTGTTTTGTAAAGCTGCCAATCTTACAGAGTTCTTGAGTTGATTTGCTGCCAAAGAGTGAGATTTTGACTGTTTACCATTAGGTGTAATGACTCATGCATCACCTCTTTGGGAAGGGGGGGGGGAGGGTGTGGAAGCACACAACCCAGGAAAGCTGTGAAAAAAATATAGCAGCTTAAACATCTATTACTTTATTCTAAGTGTTTGGGAGATTCCATGCCACTGGTCCATGGTCAATGTGTGAGCATCTGCAACAGTCAATAAATACACTGACTAGTGTAACAGAGGCTCTGCATGAGAATTTCCACTGTTGGAAGGTGGTCGGGGTATGAAGGGAACAGAGTGTATATTGAATCTGATAAGATAATTAAATTGATAGGTACTTGACTACAGTAGCAATTTGCTGTCCCAAAATAAACAGTTTCAATCAGAAACCTCAAATGCATGAGAAATAATAGTTTCTGAGTGAGAGCACAAGATTGAATTTGTTTGCGTGCTCTCATGCTCAATGCAAGAGCTCTGAAAGAAAGAAAGTGGGTAGCAAGACTGATTAATTCCATAAATTGTTAATGACATATATTGCAAAAGGCCTTTTCCATAATTTTATATACTTTCTACACTCATTCGATCTCGATCCTCTGTTACAAGATAGAGATTCTATTTATCTGCTATTACAACGGAAATGCACGCCTAAACTACGTAAAACCTGGATTGACATTACTTACCGTAATTTCCGGCCGTTTACCCGCGGGTAATCTGTTGATTTTGCATTAAACGCGCGCCACTGCGGGTAATAGGGAGGTGCGGGTTATGTGACAATTTTAAAATCTACTGATACTTGAATTGTAAAAAATTCTCACCTACATGCGTTTCCACCTCTCAAATGAATTTTATTGTATTAAGAGTGCCACAAAGCGGCACGAAAACATGATGCCGACTTGAGTTTATTTCACGCATAATTAGTTGCGTGACGAACAAATTGTTGTCGGCGCGCGTGAAGACAAAACCTTGATGGTGACAGAAATAATCCAAAGATATCCGGCGCATCAGTGACAAATTTCCATTTGACACTAGTTTGAGTTAAAGAGAATTTTCCCGTTTTAAGGGACTTGTTAAGCTCTATAGAACCGGAGATATCTATTTTTTTTCAGAAATCGCCGACAGTACTTTTATTTATTAGAAGCATTCAAGCTTTCGAAAGTTAGATCAGACAACTTTTAAAAGACTGAAATGTATCACCTTAATGTCACGTTTTCGCCACGAAAAAGTTGAATAACATAACGTGCGGGTTATCCACCAGTGCAGGTAATCTGTTCACTTTTTTTCGTCGTATGCAATAATCGGCCGGTTTGGGTAATCGACCGTGCGGGTAAACGGCCGAAAATTATGGTATTTGTTGTTTACAAAAATCCCAAGCTATTTCCTGTTAACTTGATTTTAACAGTTGTTTCCCGTTATACTCTGATCAACACTTCTGCAATTTACAACCGCACGCACGCACTATTTGCAGCACAAATGACACATGCTACAGCGTCATAGGATGTTCCAGACAACTCCTACAGCGTCATAGGATGTTCCAGACAACTCCTCATCTAATTATTTCTGACATTATTGATTTTCTTTATCACTTCTGCTGTGCGTAATCCGAACATTCTTGCTACAAGTCTGCCATTACAGCGCTACGTTCAATTATACACCCAAATCTTAAGTAACCCTACTGTCATCAAACCCAGAGCTTAATTACTAAATTAGAAAATAAAGTATCACGCGATACGCTTACAAGATTGTCGCGAAAACATCTGGGCTTGCTATAATATCGTTTCAGTCAAAAAATATTCTTGCGTTTTAAATAAGCCCGCATTTAACTTTCCAAATAAGACAACAAAAAATTTCGACCAAAGAAAATTCATATCACTGATCTTAAGCGTCCTTGAACTCGTTTTATGGATCATCTTATAAATACAAGGAAAATTCAATTTCATTTATTTAGTAATAATTGCTATCATGATGATATTGATTCAATTAATTCACTTACTTCCAAACAGAGATTTTTTTACACTTGCTGTATCACCACAACTGTCTAATTCCGGGAGAAAGGTTGGAGTGTTTCCCTTACACGTACAGCTACATGGTGTGGTATTGTTTTCAAAAGCCGAAGTGTTAGCACAAACATCTGAAGGGCATTGGAAGCCAGTTTTGTACTGAACTCTGAACAGGTCGGTATATCTACCCCTTCTCGTTATCACGTACTTCTCAACACCGTCTGCATTTAAAGAACCAAGCGATGAAGTAGGTTGAAGTGTGGTTATATACAACACCAAAATAACGATTCTTGTTAAAGAGTAAGTTGCCAGCTTCGTCAATCGCATATTCCTTATTCTGAATTTGAGCAAACAAATCACAACTGTCTCCGTTTACACTTTGCGATTGACTAGAACCAAAGGCGTTACTTTAACGGCTGGTTTGTTTTTTGATAGTCCAAAACTTAATCTTGTTGCAATCTCGACAAACCCGATAATGTTCGCACGCCGAAGTTACATCCAATTTTAAGACCGAAATATTTGATAGCGCAATAGTAGATCAATATGTCACGATTCCTGTGTAGGTGACGTCAAAAAGTAAATACCAGAATTTAAGGTCCTCGTTTTCTCCATCAAAAAGGGCACAGTGTCTGTTAAAGCCTATTGGTTTCATTATTTTTGAAACCTTCCTTGAGAAATAATTCTCAGAGACAGTGCGTCAGCTATTTGGAAAGAGGTAAAAAATAATCAGACATAATCTCAGAGATGTCGACTGCATATGCTTAATCTTGAGGAATCGAGAAATACAAAGTGCAGTTTTAAGAATCTCCAGCCAGTAAGTGGGTTTATCCGCCTTTAAATAGAGAACGATGGGTCTCTAACCTTTTCGGCATCAAAACTGTGGGTTTGACTGCTTTATATGTAAGACAACATTTGTAAATCAAACTGAACAATGGTAGCAACGGTGTCCGAAGAGAAGTTTCTTCCGTCAATTGCTGACGTGAGTTAAGCGTATCATCTTGACCTTAATTATAATAAGCTTAGAGGAACGATGATACAGCTTGAGGACTATTTAGAGTTAAAGACGTCATCTTTTCCTCTAAGTAGTGGTCAAGGGGAGGGGAGAATATCTCTAGGTGGAAATTATGCGTGATTACGTCACGGAACACTTCGCTTCAGCCAATTTCTTTTTAACGACATTCCTCAACTTCGGCAGTGCGCAATGTTTTGTTAACTCCTGAAAACAAAGTTGACGCATGATGACTGGGAACATTACGGAGATGCCAGTTAAACCAAAAATGATTGAAACGTGCGTTAAAGAACAGAAATGAAACAGCAACATGAAACTGAAATGGGACGAACTGAAAGTGGTGGTCTCTTGTTTGGAGAAAGTTCTGAGCACTGTTTTTCTTTCCTGTTTACTTGCGGTTTTTGTTACTATCATGTGCTATTACGCATCATATATTGAACTGAAGCCCTTACGATCAGAATTTCTTGACTTCCGCCCTTGGTAGGCACACAATAACTGGTGTACTTCACGCTCTACTTCGTGCGGTTCTTTCCATCCTCCCCCCTCCCCCCAGCTAACTGATTTAACCTCCCAATAACTGGTGTACTTCACGCTCTACTTCGTGCGGTTCTTTCCATCCTCTCCCCCCCCCCCAGCTAACTGATTTAACCTCCCAATAACTGGTGTACTTCACGCTCTACTTCATGCGGTTCTTTCCATCCTCTCCCTCCCCCCCAGCTAACTGATTTAACCTCCCAATAACTGGTGTACTTCACGCTCTACTTCGTGCGGTTCTTTCCATCCTCTCCCCCCCCCCCCCCCCCCCCCAGCTAACTGATTTAACTCCCAATAACTGGTGTACTTCACGCTCTACTTCGTGCGGTTCTTTCCATCCTCTCCCCCCCCCCCCCCCCCCAGCTAACTGATTTAACTCCCAATAACTGGTGTACTTCACGCTCTACTTCGTGCGGTTCTTTCCATCCTCTCCCCCCCCCCCCCCCACAGCTAACTGATTTAACTCCCAATAACTGGTGTACTTCACGCTCTACTTCGTGTGGTTCCTTCCATCCTCTCCCCCCCCCCCTTCAAGTAAGGTGCGCTAAGTAAACATGGAGCGAAGTAGATTTCCGCGGAGGAATCGAGTTGATTATAAAGCAGTGAGCACCGACATAGACAACAAAAGTAGATCTTTCAACGCTATTCATTTTCCCATCCACTTACACAAACAGTTGTATCATTTCCATAAAAGCATTATTCGTAAAGAAGTTAGTTGAGCCCCATTTGCGATGACTGCCATAAAACCACAATTTAAGTCATAACAACAGTCAATCAGAACAAAGGAAAATACGACAAGAAGCCATTAAGGACTCAAAGCAAATCCACGTCATCATCCTAAAGCGCGGGAAAATGCAAATAAAACCATCGCCACTAGTTTTAGTTTTGTATCTGATTGGTTGGGAAGATGGCGCGAGCTTCTCCTAGAACAATCAAAGAGCAAAGTTGAATAGAAACCAATGCACCTTGAGATCATTTAAGATTACTTTAACAACAAAATTCGATAAGTTTATCTGCACGAGTTATTTCAATAGCTGAAAGCTAAACTACTAATTACAGTTATTTCTACAATGTTACATTTTTTCCATTTTCTATACAGAGATCTTTTTAAAGAGACATTTGTCTCTAATATATAAACAGTCTTTCTTGACAGACAATAACTGCAATACTTTAAGTAACTCTTTTGACTCTCTCACAAAAAACTTTGAGCAATTCAGAATTAATTTTTTATCAATTTTATACGTTTTCTTAACAAATAAAAACTGTATACAATGTATCGATACCATCTGAACTAACTTAAATTATACTTTAAAAAGTTCGATAAAAATTAAAGCAATCCAAGCTTGTCCTCAAAAAGGTTATCGACACTCAATAACAAGACTAACTTACCAACCACAAGAAAGAAATTAAACAACAAGGCAATTTCTTATTTAGTAATTTATCTCTGCGTAACACGCATACCTTAATATACCAGTCGCTTAGGCAAACAATATGTACTAAAGTTATATCAAACTTAACTTATTAATTTAAAATAGCTGAATTTGTAATACATGGCCTTCTATGAAAATGGGCTTAATTCTAGCATTTTTGGTGTTCCACCCGATAAATTTAAGACCCGAGTAATCAGTAATTAACTGAATCCCTAATTTCTCGAGCAGCTACAGCTTAGTTTCGAGGCCCTCTCTCTAGCGTCTTTGACCGCATGAAGTCTGGAGAGGAGCCTCTCGTGGGAATGTCTCCAAAGGGATTGCCTGCAGTGCAATCTGCGTATCTGCATTCTTTACAGGAATTTTGCATCATGGGCTTCTAGGGCTTCGCAAGGTTTAGAAAACCTGTCCTCTCAAGAAAACTTTAAGCTTTCATCTAAGTCAGTAAAAAGCCTATAAAAGATTATGAAACTGAAAGCGTTTTGAGATTTCAAAGATAGCATAAGCTTTCAGTCATTTTCAAAATGGCAACGGTTAAACTGGAGTTTTAAGCACCTTTTGAACCAAGTTTCTTGACGTTACGTCTCTCTTTGGAATCTTAAAATGCGGTAAGCTGTAAATTTCATCATTCACTTTCTATTAACGGAAATAAAAATTGAATGGTTGTTTGTGAATCCTTCTCCCTCAAGTGAGCTAAGTACACTACAGAACTAAGCTATTTTCGCTTCGTAATGAGAAAAGGTTTGAGACAGTTTCACAGCCCCTTGAATACTACTAACTACATACTACGTGCTCGCCTTCTCACACAAGGTTCATCGTTTTTCATTTTCCAGTGAAAGGCATAGACAGGGTTATTTTCAAGGCTTTTTATCTCTGAGGGATGAATCGGCAGATCTTTCTCTTCGTCTGTTGAGCCCGAATTAGTAAATGTTTCGTTCATATCACTCTGAACGTCATCAGAGGGTGTTTCCGGTTCAAGGACGTTGTATTCGTGGTTCACAGGCTCGTCAGGTCTTAGTTCTTGCTCTGTAAAAATATCACCAGTCAAAGTATTACAAATACAAATTTTAACTGATCAAGGTTACTGTGAGAGCGCTTTTGGATTGAGTGTTGTAGAACTAAAAGCAATGTAATCACATCGACCAATCAGAAGAAAAGAAAGAAAGAGCCAATGAAAATTCAAAGTATACAAAACCAAACTGTCTAAAGCGCGGGAAAACGCAGGCGACCACGTCGTGATTGGTTTTAGTTTTGCATCCGATTGGTTGAGAGAGCGAAGAGAGGCAAAACCGATGCAATCTCGGATTACCTTCGACACTCAATTGAAAATTGCTATTTCAATCAGTTAATAATTAATAAATCAAAAAATTCTTACAAAAATGCCTGACCGTGCGTGTTTGCTTTTTCTCTTGTCTCTAGATTCGTGGTGTTACTCTTAGTTTTGATCCAAATCTGTTATTGTTGTCGTTGTTGTTGTTGTTATTTTTTTGGCTAAGGTGTACGAAACTAAAAGTTTAGTGAATACAAGAAGCAAAGGCTTCTTGAAACAACTCATTTTTCCTTTCAAAGATTTCAAAATTTGTTGTCCGGTGGAATTAATGTCATTCAGCACTGCATACAACTTTGACGACGATAGAAAACAGCATACAAATTCATGAAGGCTCGCGAGAGACTCTGTAACTCAGTTAAGATTTCGACACTTACATCTCAAGCCCAGTGACACGTATTCAAGTATCGACCATCAAAATCTCACAAGATATCTTAACTTCTTGTGCGATTAAAAGGCCTAAAAATCAATTACCTGACTCTTCCGGTTCTAGAATATTATACTCCGGTAGTTCTTTGCCATCCTGACCACTTGAGTTGTTGTGCTAAACAAAACAAAATGATTCAGTTCCTTTTTCGAACTTCATAGCCTCCGCAAATCCAGGGTTCCGTGTAACTATGTCGTAGGCACAACCGAGAGCATTAGACTTGGAAGGCACTGCAATGCGCATTGCAATAAATTCCCCTCCTCATTCAGCGATAAAATGGATCCAAGGTTTATCTCTTACTCCCAGGTGCGAACGAAAAGGAATTTCTCTTTACAACATCGATACAATTTCTTACGGAAAATTGAAGAGAGGAAAGAAAAATATAAACTGGAAGACATTATTTGACACAACACCAAATTCTGAGAGCTATAATTATGAGAAGAAAGTGAGGAGAATTGATATTTAAAATCTGGGAGAGAAAGGGTTTATCCTTTAAATCCCGGAAGTGATTAACATGTAACTTCTCCCTATAATATCCATACATTATCCAGCAAACAGGTAATGAGAATATTCAAACTTATCAAGTAAGAGTTGTTATCGTGATCTAACACCAAATTCTCGTAATTAATTTACGAAGAAATGTGAAGCAGCTAGAGGAGAGAATTAACAATCAGATCTTGGAGGATAATGAGGTAAGTCTTACGAGTCTAGTATACCAGAAACTTCCCAAGCTTTTCAAGATTTCCATAGCATTAAGTGAGTAGGAGTATTGCTTCTTTCCTCTTCCAGGTGGGATGTTAGTTTATCACAGGTAATCCCTCCTTCCACGATTCGATTCCCCTTGAACTGAGCTTACTTCTACCCATATGTATTCCTCACAAAAAAAAAAAGGGGGAGGTGGTCCAGTTGGAAGGCAAGCCGGTAGGTGGTGAAACAAAACTTCCCTGAACCCAACACATTAATCCGGTCATGGTCCAAACTCTGCCCATCCAGACTCTAGCGCGCTAACATTACACCTTCCCCCTCCCCCCCCCCCCCCCAATCTAAAAGTTCATTCACATTAAAGGCACTATGCCTTACCTCCATGGCAGACGGTGTCGCATAATCAGATTCCCTCGTGCCTACTTCGGGCGCCAAACTTTCATAAAACGACCGTGTCTTTTCCCTCGTGTTGCTCTCCTTTTCTCGGTGCGGGCAGCATCCAATAGTGTTAGGTCTCTGATAATCCGAGCTATCGTTACAACTCGGACAAATAAACTTGCTCCGAATTCGGGTTCTGTCTATGAGTCCTTCATACAAAACATTATCACCAGTTTCTTGGCATTTAGGACTGTGGAGACAATGACCATCGTTATGATCGAGATGTTCGTTACAGTCGTGATGATCGTGACGATCAAGATGTTCGTTACGACCGTGATGACTGTGATTTTCGTGATAATTACAAATCCCTCTATCACCCTGTTCCCGTGATTCTGTAAGTTTTTTCAAGTCTTGCTCTCGCCTTGGCAAAGAACTAAAAGAAGTCTCTTCAAACTGCAAATTTCTAAACACAAGTGATCCGTCGGTTTCCTCTTCTTGTAGACTTCTGTCCCTTTCGCGAACATTTCTTGATTCATCACTTGTTCTTCTAATTCCTTCAAGATTTGACCGTGACAATGGCGAATCAGGGTTTAGTCTTCCTCTTGAAAACCCAACTTCCTGTGCGTAAAGATTCAGAACAACTGATGGATTTTCATCAAGATTAACTGTCACTTTTCCTGAAAAAAAAAGACAGCAAAAAAAAGTTGAAACAAGTTACATAAAGAATATATATAAGCAACAGAGGGTCAATGCCCCATTCCCCCCCCCTGAAAACTCGTTTGGTCAAATTGGGCTTAACTAAATGAATATCAGAAACAGAGAACTGAAAAACTGAATTTTCCATAGGATTCAAGTACTCGCAAAATGGTATCTTCCATGTGTTACATTTGAAGTCGGCAAACATCGGTTTAAGCACCTACTATCGAGAAAACGATTTTGAACCGTGTTCAACGAAACAGCTCTAAATAATCTTTGGTGTGAATGGGGTGTTGGTCTAATTCCGTGTTTATGAAGCATAAAAACCGAGGAGGGCTGGAGAGTAATTTGCCGCCAAAATTGTGAACAGATGATCTTATAAACTCTTACCTTTAGCCTTGTTTTCCAAAGGATAAACATCTGCCACTTCAGCATACACAGGCTCCTCTTGAATTCTGAAAGTCTAAAGAAAAAAAAAAACACTTACTAACCACATTAACTGTGTGGAGCTAGTCCATTTTTCAGTCTAATGCCACAGACTACTGTCAAGGTACTACTAGGGGATAGCTTCAGTGTTAACGGTGACCCTTTACACCCAAAAATCAATATGGATATTCTCCATACAATTGTCTATACGTTTTTTAAGATGCTGACAAGGAGAATTTGTTTAACGATCCAGATACTCTTTAGTAGGTAATCATTTTGATTATTCATGTGATCTTAATATTTGATTCAGGGGTGGAGAAATTAGATGTCAATCATTTCCAGGGGTTAAAGAACTAAAAGGACACGTGACGAAATTGTTAAAGACCCCAAAGAGTTTTTCATCACTTACCGGCTGCCCTAGATTGTTAATCACTGCAAAATGAAAAAAAATTTAGAACACTTGTCAATGAAAAAACATGCACAAAACATTAGTCGTGTATTTAAAAGTCCCTGTCTTCTTTCACCGAAAACGAAAAAAAATTAAATTACAAATGCAATCATGAAAAAATTTTAACATAGGACCCAAGACCCATTTAATAGCCCAGGGCCGCACTCAAGACCAACGGCACAATTTTTCCTAGAAGGACTGGTAATTAACTTATTCAATTTTTTTAAGCTGGTTACTTTTTTTTTGCCACAAATAGCATGGAAAAAAAATCATGGACCACGAGAACAAAGTTGGACTGATGAAATTAGAAGATCCTCGCAGCTAAGAACACTACTGAAACTAGTAGTTGTAAATAGGACCTGAAAAAAATTCAGGCCCATACGGGATTTGAACCCATGACCTCTGCGATACCGGTGCAGCGCTCTACCAATTGAGCTAACAAGCCAACTGGGAGCTGGTCAATGAATTGGGTACAAATAAACATCCAAGTGAATGAAGAATTTAGATATATGAAAATTCACATATTTGCACTGCGGTGGAGAGATGAAATTAGAAGATCCTCGCAGCTAAGAACACTACTGAAACTAGTAGTTGGACTGGTTACGATTGCGCTATTAACCAATATCAGACTCGAGGATTTAAGATAATGGACAGCCTTCTGAGGATACTTCAAAGGAAAAAAGAAATATAGAAAATCTCTTCCGTTTTTAGATTTCAATTCACAGTTTTTCTCTTCCTCTCCCCCTTGGTATTAGTTTTGTATTCACGCGCGGCGCGCGTGATTTCACAAATTAGCTAATCACGTGAAGGAACTCTAACCTTGACATTGGAAAACTGACGTGGACATTTTTTGCGTCAGTTTTAGTTTGTTTTCGCGGAGTTTTAGTCAATTGTTTTTAAGCTTTCGTTCGCGTTAATTAGTCACTCCTTTGTTAGGAATTTTAATAAGTTTCGGAGTTTTTATTTCAGCCAAATGATGTGGCTCATTTAACGCGTTTAATACATATTTTCTACGGGGTTTGGACTTAAGCCTCTTTTTTCAGAGGATTTTTGGATTTTTTACATTAATGTCCCTCTTGCATAATTGTCAGGTCAACCCCTACATCCTCATTCTGTTCATGTATGACTATATATGTAAGCTTGTGTACATCCTAATCTATTTGTTCTGTTAGCAAAAAGTGTTATAAAAAATCCAAAACTTTTGAGTGAAACAATTCCTAACTTGGTTTTTATGATTTTGATAGCACTCAGAAATTCTTTAAAAAAAGAATTTAAAAAAACGCTTGAACAACTACTTAAAATAATAGCATTACAACCCTTTTCATGGTTTTTAAGCTCTTAATTAAGAAAAAGGAGATATCAAAAATATTCCACTTACTACATCACATACATCATCATAGCAATATTAATGACAACAGACAATTTGTAACAAAAACAAGAGCAATGATAGCTATAACTATTAATAACAAATTCTTATCAGTCTTACCATTAGAATTCATGATACCTCCTCCAATTTGATGTCCTCTGTGAGAGAGAAGGAAATCTTTAGCCGGTTAATTCACAGTTCAACCATTTACACTCTAGCACCAGTATGCACTGTTCTTTATACATTTCTTAAGGTGCTGACAAGGAGAATTTGTTTGACAATCAAGAGCTCCTTTAGTTGGGGATAATATTCTTTACTCTTGTGTAAGGAGAAATTAGACGCTAGTCACTTTTTGGGATCAGAAGGTTCAACAATTTATATTTTTCAAATCTCCCATATCACATGTGATTCTCACTAAAACAGGAGACCTCCCCTAATCTCCCATACAGGTTCTTAAATCTCCCTGAAAAAAAATATGTTAAGATATTTTCCCTAAATTAAATGGAAATCAAGTAAATTTTACTTCCACTAAGACGAAATTGAGTTTTTGTTCACCCTTCAACCCCTTGCAGTGATTAACATATAACTTATCTCTTTAACATCTATAAAAATATTCAGCAAACAGATAATGAGAATACTCAAAGTTATTTTATAAAATAATTCAAATTGTACGCATGCTCTGATTGGCCATAAAAATCATTTTACATGAGCGTATGTAAACACGGTTTTCGTTCCTCTTTCATTAGTTATTTTATAAAAGAAATGTAAAATGGTTTCTGTGTTTACATAGCCTGATGTAAACACTTGGGAGGTTGGGAGAACACTCAATAAGCTGGAAACCACTCCGTTTCGCGTCATGGTTTCTTACGCTTATCTCGTGTTCTCCCAACCTCCCCTGTGTGTTTACATCAGGGTATGTAAACATGGAAACCATTTTACATTTCTTCAATCTTGACCTGACACCACATTCTTGTCACTAAATGTAAATTTCAGTTTTCCGGTGCAAAATTGTGTCCCCTTAAAAATAACTTGAATAATTTTACCTTCTTCTGCATGGGCATAAAATTGTGTATTGGTGAAGCAAATATGCAAAGACTCCAATAAGAAGCAGGCATAGAATTATTCCAATAACCACAATAGCTGCATTAATTGCCTGTGAATGATATAAAAAATCTGTTTAGACACTCTGATCAGTATGCAGTGTCTACAACTTAAATCAAAGAACTCCCTTTCAAACCAGAAACATGCAAATGTGACCAAGAAGGAGAACACATAAATCTTATGTATAGTCTCAATTGAAATGTGTGCTCTAGAAATCACAATAAACTTTAATCTCCTTTATTAAAGAGTGTATACAAAAATTGACTTCTTCCATGTGAACAGTTTGAGAGTACTTCAAATGAACTTAAACCTTAGCTACAGACATTGCCATTTTGAAAGCAACACAATAGCCTGGCTACACACACAGAGCTATAGTGAGTAATTCAAAAATTGCCTCTGCCCACCTTGCCATAAAAAATAAAAATAATTTTTCCAAGTTGTAAAAAATTACTGCTTCTTTGTGTCACTCCTTGTCATAAAGAGACGGAAAAAGGAGTCATAAGACTTTGTTATGCCACAGATAAGTGGCCATGAGGTTGCTAACATAACCAAGGTTCAAGGTTTTTGAAAGGTAAAGTTTACTCTCTTGATTCTCAAAAGCAAGTTTGATTCTTTCATGAATGCTGGAGATAAAAATTATAATGGTTTCAGGAGTACACCCTCCTCTACTTTAATGGTCTCATAGACAGCGGTAGACCACCAGTCTCTGGCTTTAAAAGTAAATTAGTGTGTTCACCACCTAAATCAAAACAACTGACTTTTCGTCACAGTTGCAAACAAATTCAAACTGGCCGTGAGATTGAGAAATGCCATGTTCTCTTGAAAAAGAGAACATGGTATCAAACACAAAAGATTGATTCACTTACTTGATCAGGTGTAGTGATTGGTGTTGTGGTGGTGATGGTTGGGGTGCTTGTGGTGGTGCTTGGCTTGATTGGTGTCCCTGTTGTTCCAGTGGTGGTTAATTGCGTGGTTGGCATGTCTATGGTAGGTGGGCAAGCTAGTGGGACTAAACAACAAATTATACCACAGACATCATAAGAGACCAGGTGCTTGAAAAAGCATTCTAAGATCACACACTAAATGTAAGGTCAAAGATGTGTGTATACTTATTTCCTGTTACATATCAAGAACAATTAAATGATTCAAACTTTGTTAACCAGTTCTGACCATTGACTTAATAATATGTAGATTACCTCATAAGGAAGGAGACCCCATACATAATGATTATATACATAAATCGACCACCCCCCAAAGGGGTTTTTCAGGGTCAATAATAACAAATTGTAAATAAACAGAAAGTTTTCACTGATGTGCCCACTATTTTTGGATTATAAATTTGCTTTGTCACAATGTGGCCAGCAAAATCATTATGCCTCATTTTTTTGTGCAGCTTTGCACTGCTGTCTTGTTGCCAATTTTGTTGTCAAATTTTGTTGCCAATTTTTGTTATCAGATTTTGTGCCCTAAAACTTGTTTGCTAAGTTGAAAGGCACTGAAGTGAGAAATCTTTTGGACAATTCAACAATTGTCTTGTTGGAAGCATATTTTAATGAACTATTGTATCAAAGCGGTGACTACTGTAAAACCAATATTGATAGAAACAAATATGGAAGCCATCCTCACAGTTATGAACTCTACTTAAGCAGTAGTGAAAATAAGGCCTGAAAAAAAAATCGAAAAAAATAAAGTGGTGTGCGTAAGAAGTATTTCATAACTGCAGCGATTGCTTCAATATTCATTTCTTCAACTGCAGTTCACATATATGATTTTCATATCTTTACAGTCAATGTTGATAGATTTAAAGTTGTCACATAATTCACACCTCCCAGCTGTATTACTCACTGCAAAAGTTGTTAACTGATAAACTAATGAACAGATTTCCCACGCCTATAATCACCCAGAAATCACGGTCCTAGTTATATATGACATCTGATGGTTTAAAGCATTCTTATTAATTGTATCTAATATAGAAAGTTTTTTTTTTTAACAGTACTTACATTGGACTTCTCCTTTCACTTTAAAAAGTAAACAAAGGTCTTTTGTTCTTGTCTTGTTACTACTGCTAAGTATAGGATATTTGGTGCAATTCAGTCGCAGCTTCATAACATAGCCTTTGAACACAGTCAAGTTCGGTGATTTTTGAGAAACCTGACATAAAAAAGATGATAACATCAAGCAAACATTTACTTCATATGATCTATGAGTTATTTTCAGTAAAAGGCTGGCACAGGTGGTCTGAAAACATCACTTCACGGAATATACCCCTACTAAAACTAAGCAATATCCAATATTATGATAATTATTTCACCATTACACCATTTTTCAAAATGGCATAATGTAATGCACAAAATATGCCAAAGAATTGTAATATAGAACAGGGTAAAAATACTGATGGAAAGCGACGTACCAAAATGATCACACTGAACAATCCCAACTTTGGCTTATTCCTTTTTTTAGTCATGATTTTTTCATTGGTCTAAAAAAAGATTACTGATTTGGTTTGCATTGCCTTTTATCTTTTCCACCCCTTATGGGATTGATATGATGCTCAGATGAAGTTGTAGGATGTATCTTGAAACTAAAATATTAGAAAATTAAACAATAGTGAAGTAATAAATCCTTCATTCTATGGTCTAACAAACTGGTAATAATAGACAGTACAAGCATACATTTTGCTCACTGCCTGTATCCTTGTGTATTATTAGTACCTGTTAAACCCAATTCTCAAACTGTACCACCTATGTTCAATATTAATCATGATAAGCCATTACAATTTCCTCAAATGTGATTGGTGCATTAACTGCTCTATTTTATACTTAATTATTCTGTAGAGTTGTAATCGGACAGTGTAATTGGACAGTTGGCTGTAATCAGACACCTGTAATCAGACAGTTAAAGCAGCCAACCAAAGAAGTTCACCCAGCTAAATCCACCAATCACAGAATTGATTACAATAACAACCACCACATGCCCCACAAAACTGGAGAATTTCCCAAATGGAGAAATTTTCTACTTCAGACCAGTGTCTATACCAGAGATATTTTCTCAAATAAATGTTTTTTTTTTTCAGAATTTTTAACAGTTATAATCACTTGGTAACAATGACTTTGAGATGTCCAATTCAGTCTGTAATCATACTCGTGATTGATAAATAGGACTCTTGCTTTGCAGTCATCTAATTCTATAATCACTCATATAATTACCAACTGAATTGGACTCCATTCTGTCCTATAACCATCATGAATCAAAGTCTCAGTTCAATTTTAATTCCAGATGATATATAAAGGATATTTTGCTAAAATTTTTTGATGATAGGTAACTTGTACTTTCTTAGAGTCAACAAACTCTTTAATCCTTTACCCCCTAGCATCAGTATCTATATTCTCCATACTATTCACCATGTATTTCCCAAGGTGCTGACAAGGAGAATTTGTTTAATAATCAAGAGCTGCTTTAGTTAGTAATCATTTCCTGTATTCTCATGACCTTAATGTTTGATTCAAGGGTGATATTGTAAGGAGAAATTAGATGCTAGTCACTCTTACAGGTTAAAGGGTTAAGGCTCCTGTTTAATCCGAGAAAAAACAGTCAGTTAACTTGTGGGATGGAATACCCCAAGAAAGTTTTTTATAACTAATTAATATATATATGAGTGTTTTATCAGAGTATGTGTGCACAAACCCTTTAACTAATATATGTGAATGTTTTATTAGAGTATATAACTGTACTCAAAAAGTGACTGTTCAAAAGAATGGTTCAATTCACCATTGTATAATCAAATAATGTTACCCAATACTACAAAAAGCTTGACAATTATTCAGCATACCTTCACGTGAATGGATGGTAAAGGCTGGGTATTCATATTAATTATGAACTCGTTTCCTGTCAAATTGAATAAATGCCATATTCCTGTACTACTGTTACGAAAGGATATCAGTGGTTTCACACGGCATGACTCATATTTTTTGCCAATTATCAAGACAGAATATTTAGCTTCTTTTTCAGGATCAATAACTGCTACCACATTTTTCCAAGAAAGACATTTTTCCTCTACTGTGGAAAAAATAAAACAAGCAATGAATACAATGAATTAATCAAACAACATAAGTAAGTATATAAATAATTAGTGTTTATTCATTTGTATTAATTGTGCAGGTGAGTGGAATTTCATTTATACACATATCAGATTGGGAGATGCAGTAGGCTTCAATACAGGTTCAAGAACTCAAGCCACATCATTATGTTGCATTCTTGGGCAAAATACATAACTCTCATACCACTTCTTTCCACCCAGGAGTATGATTAGGTATGGGTAAATTATCAGGGAAGCCTGACTGCAATAGAATGGCATTCCATCAATAAGCAGGGAGGAGAACATCTCTTAACCCTTCACCACTAGGAGTGACTAGCATCTAATTTCTCTATACAATATCACTCCTGAATCACACATTAAGGTCATTCGAATAAAGGAAATGGTCACCAAAGAACCTTTTGATTAGCAAACAAATTCTCCTTGTCAGCACCTTAAGAAATGTATAAAGAATATGCATACTGATGTTAAGGTGTAAAGAGTTAATTGCTTCATGCTAAAGAAACCAACATAAGCTCTGGCTGGATGAGCTACACGGCTCTAGTACAGAATTAACTTACATATCAGCTGTGGGTAATTTAGTATTATCAACAAGTTGATAGTGTAAAGTGGCCACTGTAAAGGGTTTCAAAGGTGCTGACAAGGAGAATTTGTGTAACAATCAAGAGTTTCTATAGGCGATGATCATTTCCTAATTCTCAAGACATTAATGTTTGATTCAGTGGTGATATTTTAAGGAAGAAATAAGATGCTTGTCACTCTTAGGGGTTAAACATATATTGGTCACCTTAAAAGGTTTCAAAGCTGATGTGTCGAGGGTTAGCTCTTTATCAGAGAAAATGCTCTGATGAAGCAGAGCATGTTAAATTCCACTTCTGCTTCCTTTGGCTCTGACAAAGGGCATATGCTCAAAATGTTAGCTTTGAAACCCTTGACAATACTTAATTACCCTGTTATACTCTCCAACCTACACAGCACCACAGTTTCTTTAGAAACTTACCCTCCTTAAACCATCAGTTTATTTGAAATGAAAGAACATATTTTCCTTGGTATTCTGTCAAATGGTCACATGGTCATTACATGGGAATTCACTCCAAATTGGCTTATTTTAACCTTTAGTTTTCTTTCTTTGACAATTTTATGGCTGTTAGGTATATGAATAGTTATTCCTTCTAGTTATAAAAATAGGGTGAAATATGCCGTTAAAGAAGGTCTCTGCAAGTTTTCATAATTTTAGAGCTAGTCAAAGCAAGCTAAAGGAAAATTTTTGTGTTGATTAATTCAAAGCTTGAGTACTTGATTTAAGCTTTTCATGTGAATGGAACAAAGTTCAACATCTCAGAAATATCGCTACTCTTTCAGCTCTATACTTGATTGTTTTGATAAAGCTACTTCTATACCACGTAACAGCACATACTGCACAGAGTACTTACTCCAATAAATAATTCAACACTTCTAGAGAAGTTAGCTAGTGTAGTTATGCTTGGAGAGCAAGCACGCTATATTCCACCTTACTTACGATTCACGAAGTCATTTCTATCCTTGCATCGTCCTTCATTTCGCAGAAAAACTGAATGCGTTGATTTGCATCTGCAAACCCTTTGTGTTTCGACCGCCCCGTATTTATAGCAATTTCCGCAAACGTCAGTGAAGTAGTCTCCATCGACATCTCGAGTCAGAGTAGAAAAAACGACATCAGTCCGACCTTTGACGATGAAATAACACACAGCGAAAAGGACTGTAAGTAAATCAATATTCTGAGTCATGCTTTTGGGTTCTATGGACGAGGAAAATGCTCCCTTGGTCGTATTTTGAAGCTACCTAATCATTGTTCCAGAAATATACACACCGCGAAATTTAATACCGACATCATGTGACCTTCAACTGAATTATTGCTGAGTAAATATTTGCCACTTTTCGTGTGTATCCCACCATGAAACAAAAACCACATTATTCCGTGTCTTTTACGGTCTACGTTGTACAAATCTTCAAAATTTTACGCGCAAATGCTCAAAGTCAGAGGACTACTGAAAATAGTTTAGAGAACGGAATAGGACAAATATATTTGACCCTTGCCTCTCACCCTACGAGACAGGGGCACATAATTTCTTTCCATGGTGAAATTATGGAGGAAAACTGGATGTTTTTTTTATCCTATTCGTCAGTTGACGCTTGGAATCAATTAGCGATTTGCGTAATTGACCTCTGCGATCCATCTCCATTAAAGGAATTTTTCATCTTCCATGTCGGTTTAGATTCCTATGGAATGTAATAAGCTCAGGCCTGAATATCACCTTCTCGAGTTAGTTTCCGCCGTTATAAAAATCCTTTTGTATCGCAATCACTCAATTTGTCTCAACGAAATGTGTAGCCGTTATCTGACTAATTTCGAAGCAAAGGGAATCTTCACAAAAGGGGCGAATGTAACCACGACTTTGGGTTCCAAAGAGGAATTATTGTTTCAATTTTCCTTACCCACTTCGTCCTCGATGGAAAGTAAAAAAAAAACAAATCGAAAAGGAAGCATAACTTTCTAGCGATACCTAAAAAGGAACGTTGTAACATGCGTTAAAATTCGAAGGAAAAGATCGTCTGGACTTAAAAGGGTCGGAAGTGTTACCCATTAATTCAAGGCCGATTTACACGACAGAAAATTTTTGGCACGGCTCGGATAAAATTGGTACGCGTACCAGAAACATTGGTTCGGCACGGATGAATTTAGTCGTGTAAACAACTTTGCCTCATCCGTGCCGACCGATGTTTCTGGCACCCGAACCAAAATTTTATCCGTGCTCGGACCTACTCGCGAGGTAGTCCGAGCACGGATAAAATTGGTACGCGTTCCAAAAACTCTAGCCCGGGTCGGATAGAGTGCGTAGTGTAAACGATAAGCCGTGCCAAACCAACATTTTCCGAGTGAGCCTTTATGCGATTAGTCAGCACCATTTGTTGGGAGCATGTGCAGAAAGTTCACTTCACGTTTCAACATGGCGGAAGCAAACTCCAAAGGAAAGTCGCCCAAAAAATCGCGTGGATACTCATGGAAAGAGGAAGATGTAAAGGAATTAATTCAAATAATGCAAGAAGAGACAGTTATGTTTAGTCTGGATAATGCGAAGACGCCAAAGGAGAAAAGGGCCGCTTACAAAACTGTTCAAGTACAGATGCAAAAGAAAGGTAAGCTGATCGATGTTTATGCCCCAGGGGTTTATGCGAAAGGTTTTCAATGAAAAACTAGTTAGATCGAAATTAGTACTTTCCATTTGTAACAGGGACTCTTCAAATTTCATCGTGATGCTAGTTAAGGTACTGGATGTTATTTTCGCTCGCCATTTCGTATGTCAGATAATGCAAGCCTTGATGAAGAGAAGTGTTTGTTGTAGAATACCTGGCAACTTAGCCTCTTTGTTTTGTAGGTATTAATATCAGTTTAGATGCCATCATTAACAAATGGAAAAAGCTGAGACAGCAGTACAAACAACATCACGATAAGCAAAAAAGAAGTGGCACTGAACGTCAGAAAAAATGGAAGTTTTTTGATGAGATGGATCAAGCATGTGGTCACAGGGACACATCTTCGCCTGCATGCCTTATTGATTCAAGTGCACCTGCTGAAAGTACAGGTTTGTTTCATCATCATCATCATCATCATCATCATCATCATGTTCGCCAGTCACTACAGCCTGAAGTAACATCATCATTTACCAAAATTAACAAGATTTTGATTTGTAATGCTGACAGAAGTGGTAGCTCAGTATGTTACTGTCTTACAAACTTTTACTAAATGCAACTTTGGAATCACATAATTTTCTTGTACTTCCCCTGTTTACCTTACCTTCTCTGTGTTCGTAATTGTTTTGTTCCCCTGTTAAGATTTGGATAGCGGAACAGAAGGGAACATTGAGGACGAAACCAACGTCGAATCTGGTGATGAAGCTGACAATGAAGAGTTGAGCTCAAATTCAAAAGGCAGTGTTGAGGGAAGCAGTGGGGCAAGAGAGGAAAGACTAAGTGGGGCAAAAAAACCCAAATTGGAGATGGAAGCGGAAGCAAAAACTGATACGAAAAAAAACAAAGTTGTCAAGAAAGGCAAAATGACCAGATTTGAGAAATCGTTTGCAGTGTTAACCGAGAGCTTCAAAACTGCCGCTGAACAGGAGATGGACATGCTTGTAAAGCTTGAGAACATGCGCCAAAAAGAAATGTTGGTGCACGAAATACGGCTGAAAGAATTAGAGAATGAGCGTCGCAGGGAGGAGCGACAACATGAGCTGATGTTGGTTAATCTTTTAAGCCAAAATAGAAATCCATTTCAAAGAATGGATTTCTATGAAGGAAGCAACCCTGTCCACAGTGGCAGTGAGAGCAGCTTTTATGAAATGTAAAGACTTATAGTTTTCAGAGGTTGCCGTTGGTTGTTGTTGATGTGAAGAGACAATTTGTGAAAAGGCTTTTTTCCCTCTGTTTTGTAACCATCTGGTTCACATCTTTCATACGGAAATAGTTTTACGTGACTGTTTATTGTCCTTGAGACCAAATCATTTAGTCATTTTAAAGAAGGTTAAAATCAGCAAGGGAATATATTGTTCTGTACACTATTGATGCATTGTGTTTTAGAAAACATGGGTAAGAACCAGAATTAAAGACTTTTTTAAGTGTAAGAAATTTTGGCGTTGTTTAAGCTGACATCTTACTGATATGAAGCTGGAATAGAAGTTAAAAGTTATGTTCATCAGGACTAACAAGTTTCTGTTACAAATTTATTATATTGTTAATTTAAGAACCACTTGTGGAACAAATTTGTTACTATCATTGTTAATATTTCTCTGAAAACCACTTTCAAATAAAGTTGCTGTTTGAACTGTTTTTATTGTGATCATCATTGGTTTATTTATAATTTACATGAGAAACTCAACAGACTAATTACTTTTTTTTTCAATTGATGTTAAAACCTCGCACAAGCAGAGATACAACTTTTTGATTGCAAAATTAAACAAAACCTCCCACAAAAAAGTGCAAGATGTCATTGATACAACAATTCATATGATAAACTCAGGATCCATGGCAGCAACTGTCTAACTGTAATGAATGTGAAAGTGTTTTGTGACTGTGAAATTATTCACCACCCCTTCCAATATGTCGGCCCTCTGGTGTCCTAAAGAATAGTGCAAGGGCATCTCGAATGTTGGCGGCATCTGTTTCAGTCTGTCTTTCGATAATTGCCAATGGGATGATGTCGGGCTGTTCAACAGCATTCTGTATATCCTCGAGCCATTCTTCTAAAAAGGCATCCCTCTTTAATTCACAGATGTTATGAAGGATGCATGAAGCAACCACAAGGTAACATGTGGAGTCAACAGCCATATCAACACACTTAAGAACTCGTCGAAAACGTCCTTTCCATCTACCAAATGTGTCCCCTACAGTCATACGTGCTCTGCTAAGCCTATAATTAAAGTGCCTCTGCCAGTTGGGTGTGTTTTGATTTTCTGGGTAAGCTTTTATTAGCCAGTCCAAGAGAGGGTAAGCAGGGTCGCCAAGAATAACAGGAGCAATATCAATATCGAGTATTGTTTCTTTGATATTGGGATCAAAAAGATCTCCGTTACATCCACGATTATAAATTTCTGAATTAGAAAGCACTCTTGCGTCATGGACGCTGCCTGGCCAACCAATGACCACATCTCGAAATAAGTACTTTGAGTCCACCATTGCCTGCAGCACTATACTGTGATAAGATTTCCTATTTATATAATCAGTACGATTTTCCAGAGGAGCTTGTATTGGAATGTGGGTGCCATCTATAGCACCTGCACATGAGGGAAATCCCCATTTCTCCTTGTAGAGCTTCATGACTTCACTCAAATCTTCTCCCTTTGGTATTGACAAGAAATCTTTTTTCAGCTTTTTTGTTATTGCTTTGCAAACATCTTTTATGCAAAGACAAACAAACGACTTTGATACCCCAAATAAGTTTGCTATTGTCCGGTATTCCGCTGTGGAGCTCATGTAATAAAGTGTTATGGCTGTTCTCTTCCTTGGGGAGATGGCTTTACGCATTGAAGTATCCTGACGACCAATTTCGTCTTCAATCTGTGAAACAATGTATTCAAATGTTGTTTTGGAAACACGAAAGTTATCGTACCACTCCTTGTCGGTGAATGCGGTTTCCACGATCTGAAACCATTGATCTGTGCGTGCCAATGTCCAGAATCTTCGCTCTATAGTATTACAAGCTAGCGCGGATGCAATTATCAACAATTTGTATATTCTTCTTCTTTTTCTGTTCTTCTGGAAAGATAAAGACGAAAAGCTTGACTTCGTAATTCCTTTCGAAAAGACGCTAGATCTTTTTAGCAGGAGAAACTCAAGATACTTTTCGTCCGCCATGATGTTCTTACTTAGCAAGCCGCATGCGTACGAAGCGAGAATTGCGAACGCTGGCCAAGATGTTGAGCCTTTTACCCGAACCAAGACGTTAATTCCAACCGCTTAGCACGGCAGAAAAAAGGACGTGTAAACAAGCACCAGTGCTACTTTTTTTTGGTACGCGAACCGTTTTTACCCGAGCCGTACCAAAAATTTTCTTCCGTGTAAATCGGCCTTCAGTCTCTTCCCTGTCCAAGCCCTATTTCGAAGAGGACACTCTTAATTCTCTCCACAACGGTAATAAAAATTAAGTAGGAGTGTGAATAGATAATGAAGCAGAAAATTAAAAAGGATTACCGACGGAAGTCTTAAGGATTCCAAAGTTAACTTTTCCAAAATGAACAAATCTCCATCGAGAGTTGATATTCTAACTTGGAATAGGGCTTTCCAACATTAAGAAAGTAAAACATTTAAATAGTAGAGCTAGTTATTTAATAAAATAATCTTCGATCAAATAAGATTTCGTTACTTGAATTAACATTTTTTTTCAAACATATATAACATGAAAGATAAGTTATCTTAAAATAGACGTTGTTTTTCCAAATATACGTTATCTCACTGATTAATAAAAAATATTCATGCAAATTCCTGCAACATTTTAACTCTGAAGTTCTTTAGAGATTTCACGGAGAACATTGCGGTTGACCCTCGGCTTCAACAAGTCAAGTTCATGAATTGTGATTGGCGGATTGTGATCCATTTTCTTTTAAACCATACGACTGGTTCTTAATTATGATCTATAAAAGGACACACGAACAGATGACGTCACCATGAATTAAATACATTGTTATTTTACTCGTGTGGGGAAGTAAGATGAGTGAGTTGATGGCCACTTAAACACTGTACATGCACATGGGGGTGGAGGGATTTTTAGGAATTACATAGCTTTTAGAGGGAATGGAGGCGGGTCAGTGGTCGCAATTCCTACAAACCCCTACTACCCCCCCCTTCCCCCCTTAGGCAATGAATAACGGCCAGTCCCTCACTATCACGCATGTTTAGTACGCTTCTTCCAGTTCAATTAAAATCTGGTCGTTCAGGGACCTCATACGCGGGTGGCTCAAATCCAAGGTTGACACTGCCATAAATGTGCGGATCAGGACCCTCCAGGACATCGTACACGGATGCATTGGCGTAATCATAGTTAGGCCCCTCAGGGACATTATGTAGTGGTGTTAAATAACATTGTTCTCCATTTAAACTCTTATTAGAGGCCTCATTTGCCGATATCTTTTCAAGTTCGTCTAAATCTGCATAGTCAGCATACTCAGGTGATTCTTCCAAATCCGCTGGGGGTGGACCTGTGGTGTAGGGCGGTTGATACTCAGGGGGACTGGGTAAGTTTTTTCCTGGGGTTTCACCAGGGTTGAGAAGGGCTAGATATTCAGGTACTTCATATTGACGCTGAAAGAAAAACAAAGGATTTGGTGAAACAAAGACTTAATCAAGCCTACGAAGTTCAGTGTAAAAGGCGTTTCAAATCTCTCTCTTGAAAACATCTAATATCTAACTCTACTAATCTCCGCGAAAATTCCGAGGTCGTGGATTCGGGCCTGAATCTCTTCCACCCCGTGTTGCGTTCAAAAGCAAAAGCAAAAGCAAAAGATCAAAAGATGCCCCTGCGTTTACGAGATAGTGCAATCAAGAACTGGGCTGCTTTTGCTGGCTTCGCTCACTTATTGGCTCAGAAAACTCGAGCAACCCTGTCCACCAATCAGAAGCAAAACTAAAACCAATCCTACCTTGGTCATCCGCGTTTTCCCGCGCTTTGAGTCCTGAGCTCTCATTGGCTCCTTGTCATATTATATTTCTTTTGATTGGTCGTTTGGTGACTTTGATTTTGGTTGAACGACACTCAATCGAAATACGTTCTAGTGTAATCTTAAAACAGAGAAACACTTAAATACCTCCTGTACCACGCTTTTTATTAAGGGTTGGTAGATTAATCCATCGGGATTCAAGCTCTGATAAGTGTTTAGATTAGGATCTGACGTGCAGTTTGCCTCGACGTCCGCTTCTACCAAGCTCTGATAGACAGGTTTATCTTGATCTGGTTTTCCATTGTTATGGGATCTAACGTGAGCACAGTCGTAAGAATTTTCCTTGGTAGGAATAATATTTCTACTGGATGTATTGAGTGACTTTTTCGTGGCGTTGTTCAGCAGTATCTGCTGGCTGTTCTTTGCTCCAGGGTTGTTTATTAGCAAATCTTCACAATTCTCGTAGGAAGGATTGCCTGGAAATGTAGAAAAATTACATAAATTTCAACCCACCAAAACTGACCTTGAGGCCTTCCATACCCATACCTCCGTCTCAACACTAATCCAATTTAGTTTAGGCAGCTAGCTTAGTTAATTTAGTTTGATATTTCAATCTTAATTGCTGAGCTTAGTTAGCTATAGTTATTTGCGGTTCAGCCAATGTAATAATGATGAACTGAAAGGATAAATAAATAAATAGAGTATTCACCCTTCCAGCCGTCCTTTGAGCTCGTCTCAGCCTCCACTCCAGTCCCCACCCAGATTGTCGCGTGACATGCCCAAACGACAGCTGGGAAGAGACTAACCTTTTCCCCTTCATTTTCAGAAACCGATCAAGGAAAGCCCCAAGGGAAGAGGGTAAGTTTGAGTTACAATCAACTCACCTATAAGACTGACGGAAGACTTGCGAACCAGAGCTTCTGGTTCCATGTAGACTGCGTCGTCGCACACGGGATTCTTAAAAAAGCCAGTCATAGGGAAGTGGTTCTAGAATATAAAACACAAAACTACCTAGTGGGTTAAATTCTCTAAGTAATTGTTGTTAAATAAAAGACGACGTCTTAAAGAACCGGGAAACTTTTCATTTTTGCCCAACACAGGAAAGTAAAACACATTTCAAATGAGAGAACAAACTGTGATTTGTTATAGTTCTCCACCTGATTTGTTAAAAAAAAAAAAGTTACGCGAATCTTGTGAATTACAAACCGAAGCTAAGAACCGGATTACATTAAAAAACCAACAGAAAATTGCTTATAATATCAATAATTTCCATTGAGGCTCCCTTTCAATCAATGAGAAGCACGCTAACTAGAAGC